GATAGACATGGATACCAAAATGTGTAGAAAGATCAGTACAAACAAACAATGTAGTAGATGTTAATGAAGCATAACAGGCATATCAAAGGGGAAGGGGGGGGGGGGGGGGGGGAGAACAGGAAAAACAGGGCTGTCTGTCACTTGGTCTTAACATATGCCTAATAAAATGGATTGAATGGAATGCAGCAGACCAGGCTTTCTTTGCTATACATTGACTGTCCACCATACTGCTGGGCTTGAAACATGCCAAGACCGTCCACCATACTGCTGGTCTTGAAACATGCCAAGACAACCCACAATACTGCTGGGCTTGAAACATGCCAAGACCGTCCTCCATACTGCTGGGCTTGAAACATGCCAAGACCGTCCTCCATACTGCTGGGCTTGAAACATGCCAAGACCGTCCTCCATACTGCTGGGCTTGAAACATGCCAAGACCGTCCTCCATACTGCTGGGCTTGAAACATGCCAAGACCGTCCTCCATACTGCTGGGCTTGAAACATGCCAAGACCGTCCTCCATACTGCTGGGCTTGAAACATGCCAAGACCGTCCTCCATACTGCTGGGCTTGAAACATGCCAAGACCGTCCTCCATACTGCTGGGCTTGAAACATGCCAAGACCGTCCACCATACTGCTGGGCTTGAAACATGCCAAGACCGTCCTCCATACTGCTGGGCTTGAAACATGCCAAGACCGTCCTCCATACTGCTGGGCTTGAAACATGCCAAGACCGTCCTCCATACTGCTGGGCTTGAAACATGCCAAGACCGTCCTCCATACTGCTGGGCTTGAAACATGCCAAGACCGTCCTCCATACTGCTGGGCTTGAAACATGCCAAGACCGTCCACCATACTGCTGGGCTTGAAACATGCCAAGACCGTCCACCATACTGCTGGGCTTGAAACATGCCAAGACCGTCCACCATACTGCTGGGCTTGAAACATGCCAAGACCGTCCACCATACTGCTGGGCTTGAAACATGCCAAGACCGTCCACCATACTGCTGGGCTTGAAACATGCCAAGACCGTCCACCATACTGCTGGGCTTGAAACATGCCAAGACCGTCCACCATACTGCTGGGCTTGAAACATGCCAAGACCGTCCACCATACTGCTGGGCTTGAAACATGCCAAGACCGTCCACCATACTGCTGGGCTTGAAACATGCCAAGACCGTCCACCATACTGCTGGGCTTGAAACATGCCAAGACCGTCCACCATACTGCTGGGCTTGAAACATGCCAAGACCGTCCACCATACTGCTGGGCTTGAAACATGCCAAGACCGTGCACCATACTGCCAGGCTTGAAATATGCCAAGACAGTCCACTGTACTGCTGAGCTTCAAACACGCCAAGACAACCGACCATACTGCTGGGCTTGAAACGTGCCAAGACTGTCCACTATACTGCTGGGCTTGAAACGTACCAAGACTGTCCACTATACTGCTGGGCCTGAAATGTACCAAGACGGTGCACCATACTGCTGGGCTTGAAACATGCCAAGAAGATCCACTATACTACTGGGCTTGAAACATGCCAAGACAATCCACCATACTGTTGAGCTTGAAACATGTGAAGACTGTCCATTATATTACTGGGCTTGGAACATGCCAAGACTTTCCAATATACTGCTGTGTTTAGAACATGCTTAAACTGTCCAATATACTCCTATGCTTGGAACATGCCAAGAGTAGAGTAATCACTATACTGCTGGGCTTGAAACATACTAATAGAGTCCACTGTCCACTATTCTGTTAGGCTTTGAACATGCTGAATGAGTAACTCCACTATTGTTGAGAAGAAAAAAAAAAACATTCCCCTCTGGGTCAGCTATGTACACTGAAAGGATTTTAACAAACTTTGTTGCATAGTCCTACTTTTAGTTATTCTGAAGAAAGAGCTGTTTGTCTGGGTCCATGTGCAGAGTTAATCTAATGGGAGTAGTTTCCTAATTATCAAATCAGCTGCTGCACTTGCTGGGCTCTAATGAGGACAATTGTAGGGTCTGCTTCCCTGTAGACATGATTTCCTATTGGGAGTATCTCACCAAAAATTTAATTTTTGTTGCAGGGGATGCCTGAAATCTGACTTGTATCTTAGTGCAGACTTCTGAGAATATCAGTAACCTAATCATATAAGCCGGAAATAGTGTTTCTGAGGGGCGATTTGTACACATACTTATCTCGCAATTGTATATGGGGCGTGTGTGTGTGTATAAATTGTTTTTTTTTTTTATACAAAAAAGTGGAGTTACCCTTTAAACTGTTCACTATACTGCAAAGCTTGGGACATGCTGAGACTGTCTACTAAACTGCTTGGCCTGGAACATGCCAAGACGGTCCAATATCCTACGTTTGCACATGCTAGGCAAGATTATTGACTATACTGCTAAGTTTAGAACATGCTAAGAGTAATCAATACTGCTTGGCTTAGAACATAGTGTAAGTACTATACTGCTGGACTCAAAACAATGCCAAGACAGTCTACTAGATCAGGGGTGGGCAACTGTGGCCCTCCAACTGTTGTAGAACTACAGGTCCCATGAGGCATTGCACATCTGACAGTTACAAGCATGACTCCCAAAGGCAGAGGCATGATGGGACTTGTAGTTCACCAACAGCTAGAGGGCCACAGTTGCCCATCCCTGTACTGGATTGATCATTTGGAACATGGCAAGACTTGTAATTTATCTGATAGGCTTTTGATACCCATCTTTATGAAGACCACATGTGTCAATTTACTAATCTAGTGTCAATTTACTAATTTACTGAAAAAAAAAAAAAAAAAAAAAAAAATGAAGAGGCTGCTTTCTGATATGGTCACCATAAAATAATTACAATTAAACTTAAAGATGTTAAGGTTGAGGATGAAATACAATACACATCTCTATGACCATGTTATACATATTTGCAAATATATTGCAGTAAAATTTTATTCTATCTGCTGTGACCTACCCATGTCATCAATATGCAAATTAGCCATCAAACATACAAGGCATGGCTGGTCTCGCAACATAAAGAAAAAGGAATTGTGCATGTTCTGATATCCTCTAGCACAGCCTTTTTCAACCTTTTCAATACAGGGGAACCCTTTGAAATAACTTTCCGGTCTCAGGTGACCCCTGCTAAAAATGACTACATCTACAACTCATGATACGTTAGTGTGATGGTCAGTGGGAAGAATGCTACTTACATTTGTAATCATTGGGGTGAATTAATCCCTTGCAGATAGCTAAAAACTTTAATGGTGTCAGTGGAAACTTATCCGAGGGGCAGAAATTGTTCATTGCTAAAGGAACCCCTAGCAACCTCTGGAGGAACCCTGGTGTTTCATGGAAACTTGGTTGAGAAACCCTTGTCTAACATATCTAGGTTGTGCCATTTTCTTATTGGTGCTACAGATGAAATGCTTGCTACATGCACAGCACCATTTAGTGGCTAAAGGTAGAGTCACATCTGTAGAGAATCAAAAGGATGCTAAATTGCATCTATTTTAATATGGTTCAGATCTGCAAACAGTTATATGCAGAGGAGGAAGAAGGACACACATGAATTCTGCATGTGATTTTTTTTTTTCTGCCTTTTGGGGACTATTAGAAATGTGCAAATGATTTTACAGAGGGTTGTTTTTCTGGCAGTACAATTGTTAATGGGCTAATTCAGATATATACAGGTCCTCCCAGAGTTCTCATTTATCTTTTCTTAACCGCCTTCCGCCCGCCATATAAGGAAATGATGGGTGGGTGGTGGCTCATATGACGTCCTCCCACTCTAACTGCGCATGCACGCCCCAGGGGGCGTGCGGTGATCGGTGGTGTGCTGTGTCCCTGGGACACAGTGGATCACTGATCACAGTAAAGAGCCGATGACACAGGCTCCATCATGTGATCAGCTGTGTCCAATCACAGCTGATCGCATGTAAACAAGGAAATGCCGATTATCAGCAGTTCTCTCCTCACGCTGACAGCCGGTAAACGGAATTCCTCAGTGGAGACATCTACACTGATCATCAGGGCACTGGTGATCAGTGCCCTGATGATCAGTGTAGCCCCATCAGTGCCACCTGTCAGTGCCCATCAATTCTACATACAAGTGCCCATCGGTGCACATCAATGACCCATATCAGTGCCTACCAGTGCACATCTATGCCACATATCAGTGCCCATCAGAGCTGCCTTTTAGTGCCAATTATCAGTGCCAGTCAGTGCCGCCTGTCAGTGCTGCCTGTCTGTGCCCATCAGTGCAGCTTATCAGTGCCATATATGAGTGCTGCATTTCAGTGCCCATCAGTGCCACCTTCCAGTGCCTCATCAGTTCCACCTATCAGTGCCCATTACTGCAGCCTCATTAGCGCACATCAGTAAAAGGATAAAAATTACTTATTTACAAAAATTTTATAACAGATAAAACTTGTTTAGCAAAAAATAGAAAAAAAAAAAAAAAAAAAAAAAAACAGTGGTGATTAAATACCACCAAAAGCTCTATATGTCTCAAAAAAAGAATAAACATTTTTCTCAAAAATAAATAGGGCAGCACAGTGGCTAAATGGTTAGCACTTCTGCCTGACAGTACTAGGGTCGTTGGTTCGAATCCCAGCCACGGCACCACCTGCCTGGAGTTTGCATGTTCTCCCTGTGCCTGCGTGGGTTTCCTCCGGGTACTCCGGTTTCCTCTTACACTCCAAAGACATGCTAGTAGGTTAATTGGATCCTGTCTAAATTGGCCCTAGTATGTGTATGTATGAATGTGAGTTAGGGACCTTAGATTGTATACCCCTTGAGGGTTAGGGACTGATGTGAATGTACAATATATATGTGTAAAGCGCTGCGTAAATTGACAGCGCTATATAAGTACCTGATATAAATATTTTGTTTGGGTACAGTGTTGCATAACCGTGCAATTGTCATTCAAAGTGCAACAGCGCTAAAAATTAGCATGGGCAAGAAGGGGGTAAAATTGCTTGGTAGGCAATGGTTTATAAGCCCCAAATCCTTACCGTACTAGTGAGGTATTTTTGAATCAGTAGCTGACCACATTCTTTACGCTTCTCGTCTGGAGATACTTCATATTCAGCCTTAGAAAGAAAAGAAATAATGAGGTTTGTAGCACAGGAAAAATTTATAGCCTGCTGTATAATGTGTATATAGCACTCTCACCACAGCATCTAGGAAGTGGACACAACGCAACAATCTGGCCGAGTCTCACAAAATTGACGGAACAGAAGACGGCCAATGGGTTGCCGGTCACAAAGACTGTGATAATCGTGATCTGTAGGACACAGAAACGCAATAATTTGTAAATAACAGTTTTTTTTTTTACCTGGCTCTTATAGTCAGCATTTAAATTATGTTTTTACTGCTGACAGGTATACATGTCTTTAGTTAACTTTGAGAAAACTGACCCAAACATGTGTTAAGCTAAAGCGAATAACATGTAAAAATATAGTAATCATCTTAAAACACAATTCTTACATTTTACATATATTTGTGAATGATATTATATATATTTAAAGTCAAAAATATTTGTGCCTGTTCCCTTAAAGAAATGTTATGAGCGAACTCAGATCTCGTACTTTTGTTTTTGTCACATGCATTTTGACTGACATTAGGTGGGCTAACACAAAGAGGCTGCTGGAAAGTAATGCCATTAAAAGCTCAATCCACAGGGTGGGAAGAACAAAAGGCCAGTGAGGACATCTAGAGAAGTAGAGGCAATGATGACATTTGATCTAAAAGAGCAGCTGTAGAGGCTCAAACATTTCCAGTGTGCCCTCGACATTCTGCAGGTTGACGAACACTAAAAGTTTAAGGGGCTTGTCCACCTAAATGTATATTCTGATTTATAAGATGCTTAAAAGGAGAAGTTGACTTGTATGAAAAAAAATTATAAAAGCACACATTTCTTCAGGAAAAAAGAAAGTGCATTTGTTATTTTTTTTTAACAGAACCCTGCAGAGCATTGCACCCGTGAATGCAGAGCATTGCACACTCTTCCTACAACTCTGTGCCCATTCCTCTGTATAGGCTTCAGTTTCAGAGCTATAGGAAGAGTGAATAGCACAGCACGCTTGCAGTCCATCTGCCATGGTGACAGTAGTTTATTATTTCGCAGATCTCTGAATGAATGACATGGCAGTGCAGGCAGAGCCCCGTACAACTGTGCTGATTTCAGCTGTGGGGGAGAGGAACCCCCAACCAGAAATGGTAGAAATGGTCAGAGACTGCGGACATGCTGCAGGACACTTTCAGAGACCGTGAACATGCTATAGGAATTGTTGGGACATGCTTCAGGAGACTGAATGGAGACATATTACACAAGCCTGGTACAAGTCATTGCTTAAAGAGGGCAGTAGGGAAACGCAGATTAGTGTCTGGAGGGAAGGAAGTGTTAAAGGGCCGCATGTGGGCACCAGGGCACACTCTGGCATCATTGTGACTCTGCACATGATGCTTGCCCCAAATTTTGTCACCTGCACCAACCAACATTTAAAGACAAAGAAAAACAAACAAACAATCTCTTGCACTTAAGAGCAGTACACTGGCTGACAATGGATCACAGGTTCTTTGTCTGTTCTGATTGCTGTCCCCCAAGGGCTGGGAGTACTGGAAAACAAGGAACAGAGGGAGCACCAGCCTTGCGTATCACCTTTGTGATAGTTTTACTGTATTAATAAAATGAATATATACTCACAAACGACTCAATAAAGGCACATCAAAAGTTCACGACAAACTCAAGTTAATTGTGGACTTTTGATGTGCCTTTATTATGAAGTCGTTTGTGAGTATATATTCATTTTATTAACACAATAAAACTATCACAAAGGGTGATACGCAAGGCTGGTGTTCCATATGTTCCTTGTTTTCCAGTACTCCCAGCCCTTAGGGGGCAGCAATCGGAACAGTAATACGCAAAAGTAATACGCAAGGCTGGTGCGCCTTCTGCTACCTTGTTTTCCAGTATCAATCAACATCTGCCATGCGGTGTCAAGATGGAATCAAAGTGTGTTATAGCAACTCTTAATGAATCCCCCCCAAGTGTGTCTGTAATGTCGCTTTGTCAGCCTGTGACGCAGTCAGCCATGCTTTCTATGCCACCCCGACATGGTTAAGAAAGCCAGCAGTGACATCTCAGACACATGGCTGCAACGATCTACAGTACTGGCCCTGGAGACCAGAAGGGATCAATCTTGCAGTCAGCTGACATCTAAGAAAAACTATTTACTGTATCTGTGTTTTTGTAAACTGATATGAAGATATCTTGACCAATATGTGCCAGAACCTAAGTGATTGAAAACACTAGGGCTTACTTAGGCTTTAAATTACACCTGAACACAAAAAGTGAAGATTTGCCATGTTAAACGGACACATTTAGAAATGATAATTGTACCTAATTCCTGTTATGCGAGTGTGCCTAGGCACTTCAGTGCTTACAGTATCATAGCTGTATATCTGTAGTGCCAATCTACGGCACTGCTTCCTCAGAATGCTAGTCTACACAACTTGGAGTGTGATTAATGAGGTTACTATTGAGCTGCTCACCGTTTTCTTTGCTGGAGGCTCTGTCATGAGGAAGCAAAACCCTACCTCTACCAAGATGGCCACCTCCCTAGAGACTGTGCAGAACAAAGTGTGGAAAGTCAGCAGCAAAAAAAAAAAAAAAAAAATCAGCTGCAATGAAGCCACATGTAATACTGATGACAGTCCTTTCTTTCTGCCTTTTGGGCACAGCTTCCAGAGTTTTTCCCTCTTTAATAGATCCTTGTATCTCTCACGGACAGGTGATCTGCATATTTTCCAACAGACATTACATGGAGTCCCACTCTTGCTCTGGGTTTTTTTTTTACCAATTTTACAAGGTGGAGACTACAGTAGGTGAAACATCCTAAACACTGGACAGAAGAAAGCTAGAAATTATAGTAGTGAGATCCCTGCCATTGGATCACAGAAGAAATAGAAGAATCCAGTGGATAATGCGCCACATTCCACCTGCACAAGAAAAGTCACTTTTGGGTGGACAGGTTCTTTAAAAAAAAAAAAAAAAAAAAAGTGTAAGGAGCAACGGTAATCAACAAAATACAGCAGTAAGTCACATTTTGTCAGTTTAGAGCAACAAAAGATGGTTGCTGAGGGTTTCTGCACACTTACCTTACCCAGTTATTAAACTAAAAGCTTTACCATAGCTCTCAACACATATACATAGACAGTATGACCAGTTTGGGTGCGAGCCAAAACACTGGACAGGTATTTCAGGATTGTGGGAGGAAACACACAAGGCAAAAAACTCTATGCAGATCATATCCTTGGTGAAGATGAAATCCAGGACACCGGATGCTGCAAGGCGAAAGTGCTGTTTAGCTACCATAACTAAATAAAAATAATGTTTTTTATCTAGCAGCTCTCCAGTATCTGATACTGACACAAACCATATCAACGATAACTAGCCAAACAAGTTACATTTTCCATAAGTTTACTCTTTTAGATCAACGAGAATTTCCAAAATCAAGCGTGTAGATAAATAAAAGCATATTTTTACTTATCTACAGTGGGGATCGAAAGTTTGGGCACCCCAGCTAAAAATTTGTATTAATGTGCATTTTTCTTGGTCTTCCAGATCTTGCTTTAACTTCCACTGTTCCTGATGACTGCCATTTCTTAATTACATTCTGAATAGAGGATATTGACATCTGAAAACGCTTTGCTATCTTCTTATAGCCTTCTCCAGCTTTGTGAGCGTCAACTATTTTCAGTTTCAGTTTTCTAGACAACTGCTTAGAAGAACCCATGGTGCTGATTGTTGGGGCAAGGTCAGATGAGTCTGGGCATTTAAAACCTTTGAGATTGACATCACCTGGTCTTCCCAGACGATGATTGAGAACAATCCATGACACTGGCAGGTCTCAGCTTTGCAAAGGGGGCAGTACAAGATATTAACTCTGCAGGGTGCCAAAACTTTTGCAGACGCCATTTTTTTGCTTTCTGTTATTTTGAAAGTGTAAATGATGGAAATAAAATCTAACTTTTGTTGACATATTATAAGAATGTCTAATCTGTAATTTGATGCCTTTTGGAGATTTTTCCATCATTTCCTTGCCTTCTTTATGCACATTAATACAAATTTTTAGCTGGGGTGCCCAAACTTTCAATCCCCACTGTATTTTCTTTTAGTAAAAAGGGAAAAGAGCTGGTAAAAAAAAAAAAAACAAAAAACACGCAATCCTCACATCCTAGCTGGGGTTGTTCCATTCAAGCACACTGCTCTGCAGATAAAGTGAAAAAAACTCAGCGCTAGGTGTCATTCATATATTAACGTTTGTAAAAAAACAAACAAACCCATATGTGTATAACTAGGAGAGTCACGTTCAAAAGTATATGAATATCAAATATGGAGTGTGAAGTTAAATGTGCAATCAATAACATAAAAGCATAAAAAAAACTAAATAATATAATACAGTGACAAAGTGAATCAAAGTAACATCTGTAATAGGAACCACATAGCATAAAAATCCATCTCCAGTGAGTATTCTGTGTGAATAACAATCAATAGATCACACATGCTCCAGTGATCCACCAACGTTGCAAATCCAAGCCTCCAACCAGAAGCACAGGACCTCCACATAAGAGGTCATAAAGGGTATAAGTGTGATCCTGAAGCTCCAGCCAGCAAAAAGCCATGCTTAAGATGATAATCACCTCGGTAAAAAAGTGCACTGGCCCATGACAATGTCCCCTTGTGATGAAATGCATCAGACAGGGCTTAGCGGGCTGGCTGCAGACCAGCATTTGTATGTTCCATCCTGTTATTTCTTCCTATTTGAGTACCCATTGTTTTTAGTAATACATTTCACATTTTATACAGGTTTACTCTGTGTACACTGTCTCTCTTTTTTTTTTTTTTTTTTTTTGGAGGTGATCATCATCCACCCCCCCCAGTCTGCCCTAATACCTACCTGAGCCCAATCTCAATCCAGTATGTGCACAAGAGCACTGTGCTCCCTTTCCTCTCTCCCTTCTCATAGACCATCGACTCCTGCTACTGTCA